GAAGAATCTAAAACCAAAAACCTACATTTTTGTCATAATTTTTACCTTCTTTTTTTAATGTTCAGAACACCTTTTTTTTTATTTCATTTTCTTTGTTTCAATTTTTTCCTACCATTTATTGAGACTCATTAGCTAATCTGACTGAAATTTGGATGGAAACGTCGGAACTGTAAGCAGATAATGTAGATGATAAAATTGGCTATATATATTGATAAAGCCAACATTGAAAATGACAGATTGATGATATTTTCGTAGTTAATCCTATCTGTTAGAACTTGGAATCTTGAGATTATTGCTTTGGATTGGATCATCAAAATTCCCTTCTTGATCGAGCTGGTCAAATTGATGATGCTTCCTAGGTAACTGGGAATTTAAGATGTCAGCCATGAGTATATCAAGCATTGATTATAGGCTAAACCCACTATTTCCAACCCAGTGATTCGTCGTCGAGCTCTCCATCGACAGCATTTTAATGGGTTAGGAACCAACACAACCGTGGCTGGAAAAAGAAAGAAAAAGCAGGCCAACTGGGCCAGTCTGCCTTAGCATTGTCTTGTCCTCGAGCTCTCGGTTGCATTTTCTGAGCCCATCTAAGCTTTTCCTTGTTTATGTGTTGGGAAGTTTGTTAAAATATGGTTAATAGGTATAAAAAATTATTAAATTTTAATTTTGAATATTTATTGTTTAACACAAAACATCAACATTTAAATGAATTATAGATAAATAAAAAATTAATCTTAAATAATTATTGGTTGAAATGTTTTGACAAAACTCAAAACCTTTTACAGAATTATATCTAGCATTGAAAAAACAAAAAAAAAAAATTGTTTATAAATTAAATAGGTGAAAAGTTAAAATTTGTCTAAAAATCACTCAAAAATTTTAAGAAATGAGAAATTCTAGTAAAAGTGAGTTTTGAGTTTAAAGCCACTTGAATAATGGATCTAGGCTTGATTTTATTGTAAAATAATATTTTAAATCATAAAAATTATTTTTTATCAATTGAAATTTGGACATAGGTCTAGTTCATGAATAACTATTTTTTTCAGCCCATTGCTTGTCTAGTCCAACCAATGAATATTAACAGTATTTTTCAAAAGCATTTTATACAAACATGAGTAGATTTTTTTATTTAAAAAAATTAGATTTATGATCGTTATGTTCACATTTAATTATTGAGTCATGGTGGCTAATTAAAGGTTGAATGGTGGGAATTAATTCTTCTAACTTTTTAACTTTAAAAATTCACTATAAAAAAAGGTGAAGGAAGAGTGTAATACAATGTTTTATTTTTTTATATAGATTTTTGTGAACTCTTCCTCGACTCATTCTTGGTGTTTTTATTCTCTTTGTTATGCTTTAATTTTATTTTTAAATATCTAAAGTTTAGATTTACATTGTTAAGAGATAATTCAATTATTTTACTTTAGTTCAAAAACCTTAGTTTGAAAAAACATCTAAATCAAAGTGGCGTTATTGAAATTTTGAGAAGCATGTTACAAACATTTTAGCTGCAGAAATAACAAACAATAAAACCTTAAGAATAAATAATTTTATTATTAATAACAAAAGAATAAATGATTTTATTATTAATAAAAGTAAAATATTCATTATTTTAAAGTGTTACAACAAGTAAATACTTTTTTTTTTTAATTTAAGCATGGTTCATTTTATTATTAATATGCATAATAGAACTTTGTTTTTATATCAATTACAAATTTAAATATATGTTTAGCATGCATGCTAATATTTTTTTTAATTATATTTGTGTTAAAAACATGCAAGTTTCTTTTGAATTTTATTTTTGTTTGTGTATAAATTTAAAATTATAAATATTCTAAGCTTTTTTTAATAATTTATATATTAATATTTTGATAAATTAAATGTTATGCACCGATACAATATATTTACAACATGGAATAATGAGATGGTGATCCAGAAGCTATATGATGAAATTTTGTTGACACAGTGGGATTTATTACTTGGAAGTTTCAGAGCATAAGCCCACTTGTAATTTCAATTTTCTTTGCTCTACGAGCCCTTTTGGTCAACACATAAAGCTGCCGAAGACTTTTAATTTTCTTACGGCATTTAATCGATAAAGATATTGATTGAGAGAAGAAAAGTAGTAATTTTTTAGAATTACAGATGATACTGAATCAACAAATTAGAATTACAGATAACGCTGATTTATGAAAATCATGCCATATTTTGATACAATATCAAAGTATTATTACTCTACCTCGTACAAATTCAAACATAAAAATTAATATAAAAATAGGCTAAGGATGAGATATGCAACTTCGAAGGGCCAAAAATAGGCTAATTCCGAGGAGATACGATTGGATAGTTTATTGTATCTCTTCGTGCCAGCTTCTGTCCCAAGTAACTCTACTTGGTTATTGAAAAAACCAAGAAACAACGATAAGCAAATTACCCCATATAATAATCTTGTCGCCGTGTTCATCGACACCCCATGAACAACTAGATTCTGGAATGCCTTGTGTATTACTGCAAAAGATAATTTCAGCTTAAACAATATAATTATAGCAGTCCACATCTTACCTTTGATCAGGGCCCTGCTCTTGGTCATGGCTTTAAACCCACAAGCCTCCTCCAACACAGACACGGAGCTAGCCAATTGCCAAACGATGATCATATACACAAACCCCATGAAGTACAGAACCAACAGAACGATCCCAAACGAATAGAAGACTTTGAGATAGTGAAATCCGGTAAAAACAAACCATGCAATGATCAACACTAACGAAGAAACCAGGATGGCAACTACAGTGTATGCGAAAAAAGCTACAGAGACAGACAGAAAGGTGACCATCAGCCTCTTCCAAACCTTGGGGACAACACTCATAACCTTCTTGAAACTCACTTCTCGGTTAGTATAGATACTAGCTATGGTGTAAACAACAGCCGCGGATGAAAGAAGAGAGAAAATGAGACTAAGGATGAGATATGCAGCTTCGAAGAGCCAAAAATAGGCTAATTCCGAGGAGACATGATCGGATAGTTTATTGTATCTCTTCGTGCCAGCTTCTGTCCCAAGTAACTCTACTTGGTTATTGATAATCTTTCCGGAGAGAACATTGGATACCTCGATGTGAGCTAGGGAGATGAACGATAGGGGAAGAATCAAGGCAAGAGCTATCTGACTGAAGATCTTTCTCCATGAGAAGATAATCTTGTAGGCTTCTTTGTATATGCCAAAGACCCCAAGAAATTGCATCTCTTCTTGTTTTCTCTCCATGACTATTGTCTTAATTGAATTTTTGGCGCAGGGTGAAGAAATAGAGGGAGGAAATGATGAGGGAGAAGTGTGAAGGTTGTGTTTTGGTGAAACAAATGTATGTGTGTGAGTGTGATGCGCTCGCGTGACTTTTCAGCGGTAAGAAAAGTCAATGCTATATATATATATATATATTCTCGCTCGAGTGACTTTTCAGGGTAAGAACCTGTTGCTGCTACTTGTTCTTCCGATTAATACCAAGTCAGTGTCAAGATTGATTATGTAGTAGAAAAGACGTCCAATGGAAAAATTATTATATTATTAGAAAACAAAATTAAAAGAGATGAAGAAAATATTGTTAGCCCAGATATAATTTAACAGACGGGAACAATGTTCTCTCTTTCTTTGTAGATAATTGTGGTGTTCTAACATTAACGTGGGGGGGGGGGTTGTAAAACTAGTATTTTATAATACTATTTTTTTAGTTTTGTATTTTCAATTAAAAATATTAAAATAACTTTTTAACCTTTAAAATAAAATAAAAAATAGAGGAAAAATATAGGATTTTTTGTTATTTTCAATATTGTTGCATGGTTAAAAATAAATAGTGGTGTCCAATAATTTAATTCTTAAGTTAAAACGTATTTGTGTTATTTTGTTGTTGTTGGTTTTTAATTAATTAGTTAGGTGGGGTCATTTGAGTATTTTAATAAATAAATAAAGTTTAAAAAATTTGACACGTGTTATATAAGTACCATCTATTTGTCATTTTTAAATGATATATGTGACTAATTTCAATAATCTAGAAAGCTATTTTAGGGTGGCTTGAGTTTCGTTTCATGAAGTTTATTTTTAAAGAAAATTTTATTTTTAAATTAAATTAAATTAATTTATTGAATATAAGTGAATATTTTTTTTTATTTTTTATTTTTTTTTCTGGGACGTTACTCTAACGATTCATGCTACAAATTCTTATGTTGTTGTCCAAAATTTTGTGTTCAGGTTTCAACCATCTCAACAAGTAATTTTTTTATGTGATAGGTGATGTCCACGATGAAGTTACAGTGAATTGCTAATGATAATTTATTTTATTTTTTAAAAATATAATATTAGTAATTTACTTGTTTTAATTGATTGTTATCAAATATTTTTTACAATTCATCTGTCATCGTTGTTGTCCTAGTTTTAATTATATTACTAGACTTTTCAATATTATTAGATTTAGTTGTGTTAATTACTCAATGTAGACATTATTCTTATTTTTTTATAAATATTATTATCATCTAAACATCCTTTCCGCGTAATCAAATTTTTTTATCAGCCTGCAACGCGAATTGTGAATTTAGTCTTTGACTATTGCTTTTAAAATAGAACCGGTCCAGAGAGTTGTTCCAGACCTGGTTAATTCTGGACTGATGCTGATTAAACAAGAAATAATAATAATAAAAACCTAGTTGACTTGTCCAGATTCTTTACTGGACTAGCTGGGTTTTTTATTATATATTTTTTTCTTTAACTTGAAGCATTCTAGATGGTGAGTTGTTCATGTTTCAAGTCAGATTGTAATATAATAAAACGTCTCCTTTGCATATCACAGTAGTTGTGAACAGTGAAATGCCAAAGTATTTTACATTTTAGCCCTTGAAAATAAAAAATTATGAGAAGAAATATGCTTCGTAATCATAATTATTTTTTTTATTTTTTTTCTATTAGCCCTTTGTACTGTCTATTAAATTGCTTGCAGGTCTCATCTCTGGCTTAAAGTGGCTTTATTAGAATGAATCTTGGTTTTAACTTATTTTCCTTTTCTTATTCTCGTATTTTTTTATATTTTGATATAAAATGTTTTTTTTATTAACAAGATTTTTTTTCTAATAAAAAATAAGGTCAATTAAAAAAATATTCAAGAAAATTTAAATTATTTTAATTTAATAGAAAAAAATATTTTCAATCAAACCAAGATATAAAATATTTCCACCCCAGTGATTCGTCGTCGAGCTCTCCATCTATTGCATTTAATGGGTCAGGAACCAACACAACCGTGGCTGGAAAAAGAAAGAAAGAGCAGTCCAAACTGAGCCAGGCTGCCTTAGCGTTGGCTTGTCCTCGAGCTCTCGGTTGCATTTTCTGAGCGCATCTAAGCTTTTTCTTGTTTATGTGTCGGGAAATTTGTTAAAATATGGCTAATAGGTATATTTGAAGTTAAATTAAAAGTAAAATTTATTTACTTTATAGGTTAAAAATTTATTAAAATGTAATACATCATCATAATTTTAAATAATTATTAGTTGGCATATTTTGGTAAAACCCAAAACTTTTTATAAAATTATAACTTGCAATTAAAAAAATAAAAAAATTTCTAGTATTTATAAATTGAATAGGTGAAGAGTTAAAATTAGTTTAAAAGGCGCTTAAAATTTGCAAAGATTCTAGTTAAAGTAAGTTTTGAGTTTTAACTCTTTTGGACTTGATTTTATAATAAAATAATATTTAAATCATAAAAATTTATTTTTTACCAAGTGAAATTTAGATATAAGTCTAGTTCATGAATAACTATTTTTTTCAGCTTATTGCTTGTCTAATCTAACCAATGAATATTAACAGTATTTTCCAAAAGTATTTTATACAAACATTAATAGTTTTTTTATTAAAAAAATTAGATTTATAATCATTATGTTTAAATTTATTTCTTGAGTCATGGTAGCTCATTAAAGACTGAATGATTGAATGGTGAGAATTAATTTTTTAACCTTTTAAAATTTATTATAACTTAATATAAAGTTTTTTTAGATTTTTTTGGACTCTTCCTCAACTCATTTTTGCTGTTTTTATTCTCCTTTTTATACTTTAATTTTATTTTAAAAAATATAAAATTTAGATTTACTTTGTTTAGAGAAAATTCAGCCATTTTATTTTGATTTAAAAATTTTAGTTTCAAATTGCATCTAAATCAAAATGATGTTATTACAATTTTTAAAAACATATTGTAAGCATCCCAATTGTACAAGTAATGAACAATAAAATCTAAGAATAAATAATTTTATAATAGATAACAACAAAATATTTATTATTTTAAATTATTTTAACAAGTAACTACTATTTTTTATTTTAATTTAAAATATAGTTAATTTTATTATTAGTATGCACAATAAAACTTTGTTTTTATATCAATTACAAGTTCAAATATATGTTTAATATGCATGCTAATATTTTTTTAATTATATTTTTATTAAAAACATGCATGTTTCTCTTGAATTTTATTTTTGACCGTGTAAAAATTTAAAATTATAAACATTCTAAGCTTTTTTTTAATATTTTTTAATAATTTATATATTTATATTTTGATAAACTAAATATCATTATGCACCAATATAATATATTTACAGCATGGAATAAGAAGATGGAGACCCAGAAACTATATGATGGGATTTATTACTTGGAAGTTTCAGAGCACAAGCCCACTTGTAATTTCAATTTTCTCCGCTCTATGAGGCCTTTTGATCAAACACATAAAGCTGCCGAGGGCTTCAATTTTCCACGGCAATATTTAATCGAGAAAGAAATTGATCGAGGGAAGAAAAACAGTAATTTTTTAGAATTAAAGATGACACTGATTCAACAAATTAGAGTTACAGATGACACTGATTTATGAAAACCGTGTCATATTTTGATACAATATCATAGTATTATTACTCTACCTCGTACAAATTCAAACATAAGATTCCTCTAACTGGACATCCTTGGAATTCAATGGCACATGCTCTCCATGGTAAACATCAAGGTGATCCGACAGCGCTGACTTTTCAATATTTTCATGGTGGTTCGATTTGCAAACAAAATAGATCACTGTTTGGGTAACAAGTCCAAACAAAAGCAAACCAAGAAACAACGATAAGCAAATTACCCCATATAATACTCTTGTCGCCATGTTCATCGACACCCCATGAACAACTAGATTCTGGAATGCCATGAGTATCACTGCAGAAAATAAATTCAGCTCGAAAAATATAATTATAGCAGTCCACATCTTACCTTTGATCAGGGCCCTGCTCTTGGTCATGGCTTTAAACCCACAAGCCTCCTCCAACACAGACACGGAGCTAGCCAATTGCCAAACGATGATCATATACACAAACCCCATGAAGTACAGAACCAACAGAACGATCCCAAACGAATAGAAGACTTTGAGATAGTGAAATCCGGTAAAAACAAACCATGCAATGATCAACACTAACGAAGAAACCAGGATGGCAACTACAGTGTATGCGAAAAAAGCTACAGAGACAGACAGAAAGGTGACCATCAGCCTCTTCCAAACCTTGGGGACAACACTCATAACCTTCTTGAAACTCACTTCTCGGTTAGTATAGATACTAGCTATGGTGTAAACAACAGCCGCGGATGAAAGAAGAGAGAAAATGAGACTAAGGATGAGATATGCAGCTTCGAAGAGCCAAAAATAGGCTAATTCCGAGGAGACATGATCGGATAGTTTATTGTATCTCTTCGTGCCAGCTTCTGTCCCAAGTAACTCTACTTGGTTATTGATAATCTTTCCGGAGAGAACATTGGATACCTCGATGTGAGCTAGGGAGATGAACGATAGGGGAAGAATCAAGGCAAGAGCTATCTGACTGAAGATCTTTCTCCATGAGAAGATAATCTTGTAGGCTTCTTTGTATATGCCAAAGACCCCAAGAAATTGCATCTCTTCTTGTTCTCTCTCCATGACTATTGTCTTCATTGAATTTTTGGCGCGGGTGAATAAATGGAAGGAGGAAACGATGAGGGACAAGTGTGAAGGTTGTGTTTCGGTGATATATATATATATATATATGCGCACGCGTGACTTTTCAGCGGTAAGAAACTAACCTGCTGCTACTATTTCTTCTTCCGATTAATACCAAGTCAATGCTTGACTTTTCAGCGGTAAAAAACTAACCTGCTGCTACTAATTCTTCTTCGATTAATACCAAGTCAATTAATTATGTAGTAGAAAAGACGTACACTGGAAAAATTACTATATTATTAAAAGAAAAAAGAGATGAAGAAAATATTGTTAGCCCAGATATAATTTACCAGACGGGAACAATGTTTTCTCTTTCTTAGCCTTTCTTTTTTTAAAAAAAAACTATTTATCATGTGTTTAAAGGTTAAGTAATGTTTGTCCTTGAATAATTTTGGTGTTCTAAAATTACTTGGCGGAAAGAACAAGTATTTTGTGTTTGAATTCTACAATGAGTTTATAATACCATTCTTTAGTTTTTTTAAATACACAATAAAATAACTTTTTAATCTTTAAAATAAATAAAAATAATGGACAAATAGAGGATTTTTTTTGTTATTTTCAATATTGTTTCATATTAAAAAAGTATTGGTGGCACATAATTTAATTACTTAAGTTAAAGGGTATTTGTATTATTTTGTTATTGGTTTTGCTAATTAATTGGTTGGGTGGGGTAATTTGAGTGTTTTAATAATTAAATAAGAATTAAAAAAATTGATGCTTGTTGTGCAAGAGTTAACTAATTCATTATCTTTGAAAGACACATGTCGTTAATTTTAATGGCTAAAAAAATTATTTAAAAGTTATCTCGATTTAGTGATCCGGGTTACAAGTTTTGCAGGTTAATTGTGTCGACTTGAGTTTTTTTTTAATTTTTATATTTTTCTTGATTTTATCTTTCAATATTAGTTTGGTTGAGGATTATGCTTCATAATCATAATTAATTTTTCATTTTCTTTATACAAAGTTCTTATGATCTTATGACCTGAATTATAAGTTTTATGAGTTAATCAGGCTGACTTGTTTTTTTATTAATTTTATTTTTTAATATTGAGTTGATTAAGAATTGAACTTTATAATATTTTTTCAATTTATTTTTTATAAAGTTATACTGAACTCCTTGCTTGAGTTTGACATGTTAACCTATATGGACTCAGGTTATTGTTTTTTATTTAAATTTATTTTTATTTTAATAATTCAATACTATATTGATTGAGAATTGAGATTCATAATTTATTTGTACTTATTTTCTATAGAATTATCACAGTCTTATAACCTTAGTAACAAGTTAAATTGACTGACTTGATTTTTTTCTCTGTTTTTTAAGTTGATTTTTTTTTCCAATCTCATATTTTAATATTAGATTGAATAAAAATTAGAATTTATAATTTATTTCAGTTTGAGTTATATGAGGTTATTATATTTTTATGAATCAAATTGCAAGTTTGTTTGGTTATTTTAGGTGATATTTATGTTTTTTCTTGAAAAAATTATTATTTAAAATTAGATTGATAGTAAATTGAGTTTTATAATTTATTTTAATTTATTTTTTTATCTAATTCTTATAATCCAGGTTTAAAAGATTAACTTTAGTCAACTCAATTTATGTTTTTAGTTGAATTTTGTTTTTAATTTCATCTAATAATATTGAGTTTTGAGTTGAATATTTTTTTTATTTGATTTTTATAGATTTATCAGGTTTTTATAATCTGAACAATAAATTTGACAAGTTAACTTGAGTTAATCCCAAACAATTTAATATGTTGTCATTTCAATACTTAAAAAATTATATATTTGATTTTTTAAAATTAAACTATATTTTTATTATTCATCTGATTTTTGTTGGACCTATTAAATCAATTAAATCATATCAAATAAATCTTATATAATTTTTTTTTACTAAAAACACATTTACAACATCTAGATATTATTTATATTAAAAAAATAACTTATCCTTACAAATTATGTAGTTAATAGTATTCTTGGTCAGGCAGACATCATTGCATCTTTGTCTTGTTCGCATCTTAGGATAGATAAGCACAAAGAAGTAGTGGGCTAGATTATTCTTTATCGACTTTTTTGAAAATAAAATAAAATAAAAGAAATTATTACATATAGCAACCACCGTGATCGGTAGTATTTTATTCAGAAATTGCTTTCAGGTCTCATCTCTTAAAGTGGCTTTATTAGAATGAATCTTGGTTTTAACTTAGAGGTTTATTTTCCTTTTCTTATTCTTGTATTATTTTATGTTTTGATTTTAAAAATCAGGTTTTTTAATTAACAAGATGTTTTTAATAAAAAATAAGGTCAATTAAAATAAATACTCATGAAAATTTAAATTATTTTAATTTAACATAAAAAATATATTTTCAATCAAACCCCCTTACCTTATTCATGTCATTCTTTTTTATTCTAAAAGAAACATGATTTTTTTTTTAAAATAAATAGTTCCTTGTCAATAAAAACTTAAAAAAGAAATTTAAAAAAAATGACTTGATAATTATTACACAATTATATAAAAAAATAATTAATCTAAAAAAATCATTTAAAAAATTATAATAAAAAATATATTTTTATTCTCATTGAATATTCATAAGTAAAGTTCTTTTAAAAAACAAATTATATAAGCTTTGTATATATTATCATAAAAATATAAGATTATTTAAAAACTATTAAAAACGGAATAGCTTTTTAAATATTATTTTAATTATTTTATTAATAGTTAGTTTTATTCTAAACTAAAAAAATTGAATGATCAATTTAAAAGAAACCAATTGCCTTGGTTCTGAATATTCATAAGTAAAGTTCTTTTAAAAAACAAATTATATAAGCTTTGTATATAATAATTTACAAAGTAATTTTTAATATTATCATAAAAATATAATATTTTAATATGCTGATGTCAAAAATGATTTTTAAAAAATAAAAAAATATCGTTGGCATGCATTTTGGCACGAAAAGCTATTTAAAAAGCAATAGCAACCACACTTCCAAACATGCTCCTAAAAATTGAATGATCAATTTAAAAGAAACCAAGTGCCTTGGTTCTAGAAGGATGGACCCACAAGCCTAGCCCCCCCTGAAGGTCAAACACACCTGGATTTCAAAGGTCAGGATCTTGCAAATGGCTTTTTCTTAATAGGCAAATGACACGTTGTCCGTTAAAGATAAGATAAGGGCCAATGATGTGTCGTCAACGGTTGCAGTTTCCGGCCATCTTCAATGCCAAAAAATATGACTTTTTAGACCTTTAAACCCTATCTTTTAACCTTTTTTATGGAATAAAAAACAAAAAAAAAAATCTCACAAAATTCAATAAATTTATTTTTAATCTCAAAATCCCTATAATTGATCAAAAAATTCAAAATTAAATCAAATAAAAAAAACTTCATGAATCACATTCTACTTTTTTTTTTTACAAGCTTAAAGTTCCAAACTCCCTCAATAAAACTATGATCAATTCATTAACAAGGAGATTTGTATTTTCATAATTAAAATATGTTCATTTAGATTTTTTCTCTTTTTTTTTCCCTTTTCCAATGACTTTTTGTCTCATCTTTTGATATCCAGAGATTAATATGAAAAAACAAAGTTTAGAAATGAAATATAAAAACATAAAACAATAGGGACCAGAATGTAAAAAATAAAATTTTAGGGACTTGAGTGAAGTTTTCCATGCATTTTAACAATAAAATGAAAACAAAAAATTAGACTCTGCTCTTGTTTTTTAAATTTAGTTTTGAAACTATAAATCTAAAATTTTATTTTGTAATATTGATTTTACATTTAATACCAACACAATCTCAAACACTCCATGTACACATTAGAATGAAAAAAAAAAATCCCAATATATAAAACGAAGTCAACATGACTTGCAAAAATATAATATCAAACAAACAAAGTTTGATGACTACAATAAAAAAAAACAGCTTGAATAATGTTGCCCATGATAAAATGAGAGAGAATGAGCAATTATGCGCAATGTTTTTCTATTTTATTTTAGTATACTCTACGGTTATAATTTTTTATCTCTATATTCCAGTGAAAATAAATAATTAGCTCTCTAAATTTTAGAAAATATTATTTAATTCATAGATTTTTATTAAAAAAAATAGAAGAAGCTAAAACCCTAAGAAAACATTGGAACTTCACACTAAAAAGTATTATTAATTAGAACAATGTAATGATAACTTTACTTCTCTATCTACAAAGCTTAACATTAGTTATTGGGGGCATTAAAGTCATTTTACATGGTCTATTTGTCAATACCAAATTGAGCATGGGTAAATAAGTTCTTTCTTATATTAATTTTATAGTGAAGTGACTAAAATATCTTTGGAAGCAAAAAATTTAAACATGTCATGACAAGAGCATTTTTATATTTTCATAATTGTTTTTTAGTTATTATAATATCATTTAAGGGGAAATTTGGTATTTTTATAAATTTAAAAAATAATAAACAAGTAAAATACATGGTGAAATAACCAAAATACCTTTAAGATTAAAAAATTTAAACATAGAGCCGATGTGCATTTTCAACTTTCTACAATGATTTACAATAACTTTTCCTATTAATTAAGTCATATTAGAAGCAATTTCATAAATAAAAGATGGGCGTTAACATACAATACTAGGAGGTATATGAGAGGTGTCCTCATAATTTGAGCGACAGGAGTAGCACCTCCCAATGTCAAGAAATGTTTTTTTACTGTGTTGTTAGATGCATCACTATAACCTTTTTCATTTGAAGTGGTTCATGTTAATATTGATAATTTAGTTTGTTGTTGATGAATTTTTTTATTTTTTTTTCTCTCTTAAAAATTACAATTTGACTCTCGTGATTATTGATATTTTAATTTCAATTTTTGTTTTTTAATTTTTGTTCTTCATCTTTTTATGGGACTTTAATCACATTAATTTACCTCATGAGCTTTGTTTTCATATATATATAACAACTAAATAAATCAATTAATATAGTAAGGTTGATATTTATATAAACTAATCAATATAAAACTACTAATGGTGAGCGCTCAACATAAATTTAGAAACATTTACAGTAAGTAGCATAAAAGTTAAAAAAAATTTAAAATATTGGACGCCATAATAGCTGCATAATAGCGAGGGATGCATACAAAATCCTCTATCTCATTATTAAACAAGTTATGAAATAACGAAAATCCAAGACTCCATTTAAAGACGTATAAAACGTGTAAAATGTGTTAGCATTAAAATATATTTTCCGTGTAAAATACAGAATTTACACAACCCCTGGATATATGCATCTTGAAGGTGAGGATACTATAGTTTCTCTGAATTTAGAAATGAGAAATTTCGATGTCTGCGGAAAATTAAATGTTGAAATATTGGGTTACTCTAGATCTAAAATAGTCCAAATAAATTGTGTTTAAATCTTGAACATTGGTGATGGCGACTCCACCTTGAACAAGGTTTGACAGCACTCGAGATTTTTCCAGGACAACAAACATCAAGGTTTTATTTCCAGTCCCATCATCACTCTAGAAAACGCTAGCCTCACATGAACACGTGGCACAATCTACTAATACAGGTATATATTACAAGAAAGATAACCTTAAGCCAAAGGTTCAAGCAGCATTAACAGCAATCTTCATCCCAGATTCACAGTGTCCTGCAACATTGCAAATGAATAAGTTTTGTCCCTTTGATAATTTTATCAGATCTTTTCCTGATTTATAAACTTTTGCACCCGCTGGAGTGATGCAACTGCTGTACCCTCCTCTGTTCACGGCCACCACATTGTGGATCGTTGGATCATAAGTGAATACTGAAAAATCTCACCAGAGAATGTACATAAAACAGCCTTGTTATTTAGCTTGAACACCTCTTGAACATGATACATAGCAAATGCACAGGCTTTGTTTCTTGATTCCCTTAATTTACCAGTTCTCAACAAATTTTCGTCCATCAATATTCTTTTTCATGTGTCTGTGTCTATTAACATTATTAACAACTACTACGTGGCATTTTCCAGTTTTCTTTATGACCATTTCCTGCATGACTTTAACTAGTAGAAAAAAGAATGTGACGGAACTTACCTAGGGTGTCACCAGCTTTAAAGCGCTTGCCTTTCGGCCAACTATCCATATTAAGGGTCCAACCACCAGAGCCGCCGACTATGTAAGTTGCTGCGTGAACGTGCCCAGTGAGAACCATTAAGCACAGGAGTGCAGCCACATTAACCATCACTAGATCTGCACTGCCCCTTCCCTGAACCATGTTTAACTATTGCTTGTAAAAAAGAAAGCTGAAGTTTTGAGTGAGAAGATTGATGTGAGGATACAAAGCAAGAAAAAACATAGCCTTTTATAAAAGATTTACTGAAATAAAGAATTTGAGGGGTACTATCTATTTTTGAAAAATGGCAAAACATGAAGACAAAACGGTGACTACAAAAGACCTGCATTGATTAAAGGTGACGCCAACAACTCCATTATAGGCACTAACTTGGGCTTTCAGTGTTGAGGATATGATAACCTGCCATTAAAGAACATGAAGCTGGTGGGACTATAAAGGGTGTCCTTTGGACTGTACAAGGACACTCGATTACATAGCATGAGCAGCTACAAGTAGAAAAAGTTTTGGCCAGTGAAATTGTAGCGTGGTGGTTGCACTAAATAAAAAGGTGACAAAAAGAATTTCACGGGTATGATCAGTTGGCCACCCGTGAACCGTGAACGGACCTGTGTACCTCCATCCACTTAAATTTAAGGTTGCTTTGCCGTGAAGGACGTAGGGAATGGATTTTTCTTTTTTTACAATGATCACACACAAAAGGTTTTGGTATTTAAGGATTTTTTTTAATTTTATTTTTTAATATTAAATTTACTAGATATTAAATTTCATTCTTTGTTTTGATTTATTTTCTATAGAGTTATTCCAGTTTGATAACTAGAAACAAGAATTTTATAAGTTAACCATGTTAACTTATACTATTTTTTTAATTATTTTTTCTCAGTTTTGTCCTTCAATATTGAGTTGATAATTGAACTTTATAATTATTTTTTATTTGCTTTTAACAAAGCTATCACAGCCTCATAACCTGATTTGCGAGTTAGTTGGGTTAACTCAAGTTTTTTTTCCTTTTAATTAAATACTTTTATTTTCTCAATTTTATATTTTAATATTAGGTTGATTGAGAATTAAAATTTATAATTTATTTTTTTTCTATGAAGTTATTTCGATCTCTTGATCAAAGTTTGGTAGGTTAATCCAAGTTAACTTATATCATTATTTATTTATTTATTTGTTTCAATCTAAACCTTAAATATTGAGTTGATTGGTAATTGAGCTTTATGTTTTTTTACTTGCTTTTTGTGTGGTTATCTCGATCTTATGATCTTGATCACAGGTTAAACCAGTTGATTTGAGGTTTTTTCTTGGTGATTTTTTTTTCAAATTTATCCTTAATATTAGGTTGATTGGAAATTAAAATTCATAATTTGTTTTGATTTGTGTTCTATGAGGTTATTTCAGTCTTTTGACTTAGATCATGAATTTAGTTAGTTGAGTCGCTTGGTTTTTTGTGTCATTTTTTTTTAATTTTATCATTCAACATTAAGTTGTTTGAGAATTGAGATTTATAATTTGTTTTGATTTACTTTATATGAGATTATTTCAATCTCATGATACAAGTTTGACAAGTTAACTCGTGTTAACTCAACTTATTTTTTTAGTTCAATTTTGTTTTCGTTTCATCCTTCAATATTGGGTTAATTGAGAATTAAGTTTAAAAAAAAAATAGTTTGCTTTATATAGAATTATCAGGGCCTTATGACTGAGATAGTAGATTTGACATATTAACGTAAGTTGATATAAGTTGATCTAATATGTTGTTGTATTAATATTTTTTTAAAATATTATCTTGATTTTTTTTTAGTCATACTACATTATTATCATTTAAGTTGTTTCTAGACATGTCAAGTTAAGCATGTTATATTAGATCAATTCTCATATAATTTAAGTTTTTTTGGCTAAAAAAATACATTGCCAATACTCAAATATTTTTTTAAATAAAAAAATTTAATTTTACCCGAAGTGTTATAGTGCAGGCAATGATATAGTGTGTATCATCAACACGCATTACTCTTTTACTTTTTATTAAATAATAAATTATACTTGGATAATTAATAATCAAAACCAATAAATAAAATATAAATATATAAATTTAGCAATGAATAACATATGAATATAATAAATATTAAATCTTTGATACTTATGGCTATTGTTAGAAACTTTGCTTGATGTATTACACAACCATAATTTTAGCAAATGTTAATTAACTAAAAGTAGAAGACATATTGGTTTTAGTATACATCATCTCACAAAAAATTATTTATTGTAATATTTATTTATTTTATATTTTTTCTTTAAAATTTAAAATTTATTTTATTCTTCAATATTTGGGAGATTTAACTTTATGTTTTGTTGTGATTTGCTTTCTATATGGTTATTTTAATCTCTTGACCCGTGTTACAAGTTAACCCGGTTGCCTTAATTTTTTTTTAATTCATTTTTTTTTTAATTTTATTCTTTAATTGATTAGAAATTAGGTTTAGAGTAAAAAAAAAAACTAAAAGTAAACTAAAAAAACATAACTAAATTATTACGAAATTAGATGAGGATTGAGTGTACAAAACATCCATCAGCTGCAGAGATAATACCAGATAAAATGAAGTACATGGCTAGTTGAAACGTCTAAGGTTGTGTTTGTCAAGGGGGATTGAGGAAGTGATGGATGAAAGGGGAGGGATGAATTGTGAAGGCTCGGTTATTTCCTTATTTTAGGAAGAATGATAAGGACCTAAAGAAGAAGTGGAAGGACCTCTCCTATTCTTCCTGATTTGTAATTTCCAATCCTCATAATTTGGGCGGAATAACTTTAAACCCTCCATCCCATGTTAGCCAAACAACTACATAGATGGGTTCACATCCCATCCTTTTCCCTAGCTACACTTTCATTTTATCATATTCATCCTCCCCCAATCCATTCTTTTTGACAAACAGACCCTAGATTTTGATACTCGAAAGTAAATGGAGCAAAAAGAATAAAAATAAAGTAGAGTTGTTCTGCTTCAATGCAGCAGTCATCCACTATGGAGCTCACAAAAACACATTTACTTATCAAATAGAAAGGAAATATAGAACTAAAATATCCAAACTATGTTCTCTTAAGCTAAAGGATCCGTTATTTGGAGGATACTGAGTTTTTCTAGGAATAGGTCCACAGAATATTGGAACAGGAAGCATTGCAATAAAAAGACTAAGAAATTAGAAAATCAGATGTTGATATATAGTTCAATTTAAATGGCTTTATATGGTCTCATCACCTGCTGTTGGTTGCAAACAGATTAAAGGCCTCAACCTTGAGGACATAATGACAGTGGTCAAATCACAGTGCGGGATACAAAAGGAGAGAAATTTTAGAATAAAATGCTTCTCTAAGTCTGGGAATAACACACATTTTCTCATGTTCTTCCTCCATGGATGTAGAACTTGCAATAAGTTTATTAAGAATAGTTCAGCCAACACTGGCGTAGGCCAGTAGTAAAGAAATTTCAAAACTGTGGTCAGTGTGACTCGTGAATGAAGACCTTTCCTGCTTCCAATCCAAAGCAACATACTAGCATCAAACCAGCTGAATGCCACTTTAATGGTGATAAAAAGTCGAACATCCTATCAACAGAAGAAGAATTTAAAATAACACAAGATGCATACCTCCATGTATAGATTAGCCCTTGAAATGGCATCTGAGTGACCAGGTTTTGCTGATGTGCACGTGCATCAGTCCTAGCCACAAGGAAGAAATCAGAATCCCCAGCAGCATCTCTGGCAGATGCTATTTTGGCAGCATGCTCTTCTGCAGGTATAACCTAAAAAGAAGAAGAAAATGAGGAAGCAAAGAAAAGGAGAATGTAAAGACACTAAATCCTCAAAGTTTTTTACCAGAAGGAACAATTACATCAATTTAACAAAGGGATCTACAGAAATGAGACATCTAGCTTCCTTGCATGCGCTATTCCAATCAAAAAGCTGGTGTCTAAGGAAAAATCAGCAGAATCTCTTATACTACAAGACTAGAAATCGAAATGAATACCTGTTTGCCACGCACATGCCCTGCAATTGAACACATGAAGAAAGATAATCAGAATTGGAGGCAGCTTACTGAAAACATAAGCTTACGTTTACTTGTGGAAATTTTTCCAGTTTTTCAGAAAAATACAGTCAAAACGAACATCAACGAAAGGGTGGTGATTCTAACCACACTTCTTTGGCCATGCTTGATCCTGGAAGAAAAATCAATTTCAATCAGTTGGTGTATAGCCATGAAAGGAAGGAACAACTCCGTGTTGCCATCATCATTTGCAAAAGAAAGCTAAAGAAGGAGCACCTCTAGAAAGCATCCAGCTGCACCAGCTGCAATCAAGTCTTTGACAGTCCTCTGAACATTGAGAGCATAGCCACCACTAGTGTCTGAACTGAGCAGAAACAGAGGAGAAATCCCGAGGTTCATATAAAAAGAAATGTGTATTATTAATATAAGACATTCAAGTCGACATGAAGAGATTTAATTAACCAGTTTATGCTTCCAAGTAATGCAAGATGACATAGATGAAAATGTACTTGAAAGCAAGTCTGGTTCCTCTGATTTCTACACCCCAACGGAAAGTTATAGTATTTTCCAGCACGCCATTTACAATTACAATTTACAAGTTAAGGTCGTTGATAATAAAATAACTTCTTTCTTTTTGATAATCAGCGAAATAGCTTCTTAAATTGTTTTCGATAATAATATATTCACGGCGGTATCAAGCTACAACAAGCCCATATTTTTTTTACAATGTTAAAACAGGCTAATTATCTATAATCAGAAATAATAATCACTATACAACAAAATTACATCTTAAGAAAAAATAATTACACCCAAATTGAAGAAAAAAAGTTTTTCTTAAAAAAATAAAAATTTACCAGCATCAGCTATGATGGGTATGAGCGGAGCCGGCGCACAAACCGTCCTAGCCGTAGCAGCCATTTCCGGTGGCCTGCAAAAACCAATCCAAGCAATATTAAAAATCTTAAACAAATGCAAGTACTCATCAAATGAGTAGAGAGAGGAGTGGTGGCCCACGTACGTCAGGAGGTCAAAGTCGGGTTTGCCGAGTAGAGAAGCAGAGAGAGGATAACCCGAAATAAAACCGGCAATGAATCCGGTATCGTCTTCGTTTTCAATCAGACGGTATATCCTCGTCGTCGTCGTCGTCTTCTTTCTCTGCATTCTCACCGTTGGATACCCAGAGTACTTTAAGTTTGCCTTTGACTTTGAGTTTGACCGTCATGCCGAATGGTTCGGGAGTGCAGTTTTAGTAGCCATTGGCGTCATCGACATTTTAAATTTAGAGAGAGACGATGAACAGATGATTTTGTGTTTTTAGAGGGCTAAATAATAATATGTTGGGGTATACGCGCCAGTAAGGCACGTGTGTGGTTGGGTGGATGATTTTTCTGCTTCTTGTTGTTGTCGTTTTGGACAAGGACCTACTGATGCAAAAGGTTTTTTTTACACCATAAAAAGAACGCGCGGACGCATTTTTAACACCAGATAAAAAAAATTAATTATAAAATATAATTTTTTTGAGTATGTTTAATAAAATAACAAAGGTTATATATGTAAATAAATTTTAAAAAATTATTAATACTGATCAAATAGCAAGTTAAAAAATTAAAAGATAAATGTGTATTGAAAAAATATAATTTTGTACTGAAGTGAGCCTTTCAATTTATTTCTTATTTTAATTATATGAAAATATTTTTTTATATAAAAAGATAAATAATTTGAATTGCATTGAGTAAAAGCAAGTTTTATACAAATAATAAAAGCAAGTTTTAAATATTAAAAAATTCTATTTTAATAATTTTGACAGAAATAGATATAAAAATATAAGACTATATATTATTTGCATGTTTATGTAAGGAATTTTTTTTAGTGGATCAACGTTGATGTCTCTTAGCTGATATCATTACTTAATCCAAGTTTTAAATAAAATTTTATTAGAGTTTATTTGATATATTTTAATTATTTTTTAGTTTTGAACACCACTTTGTCAACCATGTAAAAACCACTTGTTTTGATTTTTATTTAAATATTAAAATAATAATTTTTTTTTTTATCAATTCAAGTTAATTCAGATTATTTTATAATTTAGATTATAAATCCAATTAAATTTAATAATTTTTAAAATAACCATGAAGAGCCGTGTAAGACTAGCACATGCTAATATTAAAAAAATAAAAAATACTGTAAGCTTATTGGAAAACTAAGTAGAAATTGGATGGCTTTTAATGAAGTAACAACCTAAATACGTGTTTAATAAATTAATTTTAAAAAGATGGAGAGAATAATACTAAAGAGGCTAGGTGGTTGGGACAATTAAAAGCTAGCCAGTCACAAGAGTTTGCAAAGCCAAGCCCACATACTTGATTTTATTTTTTTCATAAATAAAACAATATTTTTTTGGGACATTTAAAAGCAAGCCAGTCACATGAGTTTACAAAGCCAAGTCCACGCACTTGATTTTAAATTTTTTTATAAATAAAATAATATATATTTTTTAAAAAATATGATGCTTTGTCTATTTTGTTTAATTCATTACATGGATGATCTCTAAGCATCTCAAGCATCTAGAAACTACTAGAAAATCAAATTTTAAATCCTTAAGACCCAAAAACCAGTTTCCTTTTACTTCAAACACTTAAAAATATCTTATGAACCTTAAAAAAAAGATGATTAATTTACAATTTATCATCTTGTTTTTCCTGCATTGTTACAATTCTTGGGTCTAAATCCTCGTAGGGTTATATGCCTTTTTCTTCTTAATACATTGGCCTAAATTAATGTCATATCGCGATTTTTGTCCAATCAGCGCAAAAGATCTCTATTATCTCCAGATTATGGTTTTTGGCCACTTCCTAATTAATCAAAGCATGAGTCAAAATTACAATCAAGGCTCTCATCCAGGGATGATGATAATTTTCATCAAATCCACGGAGTATTCTATTGGATTATATTTTTATTTGATTTCATCTTATGATAATATTTTATTTGAACTGACATAAAAATAATAATAAATTGTTCTTGGAAAATTAATTTATTTTTTAAAAAATATTTGATACATGATTTTATCATGTTTTTAGCTTTTAATCACACATAAAATATGAACATATTATTTTTTTTATTTTTTTCTTAGGTTTTCTTAGCATTCCAAAAAATATTTACTAGATTCACTTACTCTTAATTTGAACAAGGTTTTAAAATATTATTTTAAATTTTTTATTTGAATCTTACTATATTCACTTACTCTTAATCTTACTATATTATTTACTAGATTCACTTACTATATTCACTTTCATTATTAAGTATCTCATATAAAAATAATAATACTAATAATAAATTGTACATGAAATTCAATTCAAATCTTTGTTTTATTCTTAAAATTTTTAAATAGATTTTTAACATGATTTTATCATATTTATGGTGTTTTTAGCTTTTAATCACACATAAAATATGAAGATGCTATTTTAATATTTAAAAAGCTGCTTTAACAATTACAAAATAATTTTTCAGCAAAAATATTAATTCCAGTTAAAAACAATGAGTTCGCTAATATAAATAAGAGATACAATAATAAAAAATTATCTTGATTGAAAAGCAATTCAAAAAAATTGTATTTTTTAATTTAATAATAGTGTCAAATTGTTTTTTGAGATATGAATTTTTTTTTTATGTTTAAAGAAATTTTAGTTTCCCTATAGTGTAGTACATGCGATCTAATTTATCCTCAATTAAAAGTGCTCTGAATTAATACGAATTGCCAATTAAAATAATCATACATTTATCCAAAGAACATAAAAACCCCACAAGCAGGTAAATAAAACTAAATACTGATAGAAAAATAAGTAAATAAAAATCAAAATTAGAGCTAGATTCATAATGGATTATAAGATCTAAATTGATTTAATATAAAAGAAAAAGAAAATGAGATAAAAAGAACTTTGTCGGTGAGTTGGTTTGAAAATCACCGACAACAGCTATACACACACACACGAGTCGATTTTTTGTGCTTAAAGAGTTACAAATCGCTTCTTCTTCTTTTTTTTTGTTTTACAAAAGAGCTTGTAATTGTATATTCAACTATTCATGCATGGGATTCATAACACCTTCGAAATTCTTCACATACGAGAAATTAATATAGCTGCAATAGTACAGAACATATATATGACGAAAATGGAAACTACTCATGCCAACCTGACATTTTCAATATTTTTGTTAGAATTCTCAAATTATGACAAAAAAGGGGATCGGCCATAATGTCTTTGTTGAGGTTGTTAAGAATCTAAGAGAGTGAAATCATTGCAAGTCTTTGGTTGGATAATATCGTTTATTTGGATTCCTGTCATAATTAACTTAGTTTATATATGTACAAAGTACAAGTATCATTAAAGAATCATCATTAATCTTCATGGCATGGATTCAGTGATAAATCAGATCATTATGCCACAAGTTTGTGAACTGGATGCGAATACAATTGATTTTATTTTCTTTGGGGTCTCAACGAACGACGCACTTAGTCTAATTGGCATCACCATTGTCAAAGTAAATTATTTTTCAAAAAAAATAAATTATATGGAGTAGAGCTCAGATTTAGAAATATTAATTTAAGATGATGGGTGAGAGTTCTCTGAGAGGAAGGTTTTTCGAATTCCCACTTCCGATTCATCACACAATAACCAAAAATATATATAGGGGATCGAAAAAGAAACCAGTGAGCCATAGCTAGCTTGGGAGTGTGACAGATAAACCATGTAAATAGGTTTTTTTTTATTAAACAAATGGATTCATCGATAAAAATATGACAAAGTAAACAAAATCAATGCTTAAGGATGCATCAAAAAAACGTACTATATGTATGATCTTGGCATCTCTGACCTAGAGAAGATCAAGAATGTCTTGAGATTCACATGAAGGTCGTCTACATCATACGTTATTACGCTTGAATCTTTCAATATATATAGGAATTGTTACCAAGTATAAATTACATGAAAGCTACGATACTGTTGTTACTTAATTTTCATGCCATCAACATTTTTCACAGGATCAAAAGAAAGTGTAAGCCCTACACTATAATGCATGTGATAAAATATAATTGGAGTTTTTGGGGGTGATCAAGAAGATATACCCACACCAAGAAAATCTATAAAAGGAACATCCTTGTGTCTGATAGATTCATGATCTCCTTGCTCTTGATGGTTACTCGTCGCTCTCATATTCTTTAATGTGGATGAATTATGACAACACAACTCTTTCTTGATCATTCCATGGTTTCCATTATCATCTCCAAGTTTAATGGATCCTAATGGACTTGGAACAACCTTTCTACAGTTTGGAAGCCCGAATTTACTGGAACTCCAGTTGCTGCTACGCACTGAAGAATTCATATGGTATCTATAAATAGATTGATCGGAGACTTTGGAGCTCTCGGTGGTGCATAATAAACTTGAGTTGAAGTAATTATCTCTTCCTTTCCTTCTCGATAAATCCACCAAACAAGAATTGTTTGAAGCTGCTAAAGTTGATGGGAGGGAATTCCAAGAAGGTGAAGAACTAGAAGGAGATATTGAGAATGTCCTATCTTTACTGGCGTTTCGAAATTCGCACTCTCTAGAGCCCTCAAATCCAATTCTCGTACTGAACATCTCTTGAGTCCTAGATTTCCTTGCATGCGAATTACTGAAGGGGGGATTGGAGTCACTTACACGATCTTGATAACTCCGCTTTCCACATAGCTTGGATAGTTCCCTTTGCTTTCTCGCCATTATTACATGCCAATGATTTTTCACAGCATTATCCGTTCGACCTGGAAATAGTCTGGCTATTAATGCCCACTTGTTTCCATGAACATGATGAGCTGCTAGTAGTCTCTCTTCTTCCTCTTCACTGAAGGGTCTCCTGTTGATTCTAGGATCAAGTTGATTAACCCACCTCAATCTGCAACTCTTCCCTGCATAAAGAGAGAAAATCAGGAACCAATTAAGTGATCAAAGTGTGTGCATGTGTGTGTCCTTGTAATATTTAGAGAGAGAGACTGGCGTCATTAATATACTTGGTATAATTTTATCTCCCTTATCGCACGATAGGAATTTTGGAAGTTACTCAAGCTGGCACCCACATATATGAGACATTATAGATCCAATCATAAGCTGGTAAAATTACCTCCATGAGAAAATAAAAATATCTGGTAAAATTACGTCTAGCATGATCCAGAAGTCCTACACACATTTAGAGAGACATAATAACATTGATATATCTGTTAATTAATGCTTAATTAAGATAAGAATCCATCTGCAATTAATCTTAATTCT